CACATGCTCAGAAGAGACTGTTCCTTGGAGAAGGACATCATGCTTAGAAGGACAGAGGGACAGTGCAGGAGAGGAAGTCCCTTGATGAGATGGATTGACACAGTAACTGAGCAACAAGGATTGGGATGTCAGATTAGTTAGACTGGTTCAAGGACAGGGCAGGCTTCAGAGCTGCAATACATAGGGTTGCTGGCAACTCAACGGCACATAACAATGACAACAACAAAAAAATACATTAAATTATGCAGACGACAGAACCATGTTTGCTGAAACTGAGTAGGACCTGAAGCGTTTGCTGTAGGTCAAGGACTACAGCCTTAAATATGGATTTAACTCAACAGCAAGAAAATAAAGATTCTCACCACTGGGCTGATTGGCAGCATCATGATAGATGAGGAAGATACTGAGATTGTTAAAAGCTTTAGCTGTTTGGCTCCACAGTCAACACTTTTGGTACTAGCAGCTAGGAAACCAAAATACGAAGTCCACTGGGAAAGTCTGCTGACAATGAATTCTCCAGAGTACTGAAGAGCAATGATGCCAGTCTGGTGACTAAGGTGCGCTTGATACAGGCCATGGTCTTTGCACTTACTGCTTGCTATTCATCAGAAAGCTAGACAGGGAGTAGTGATGATAGAAGGATAATTGATGCCTTTGAGCTGTGGTGCTGCAGAAGAGTCTTGAATATTCTATGGACTGTTAGAAAAAACATGTTTATCCTAGAGAGGGTGAAACAGGCTGCTCTTTGTAGGCAAGGATTCTGAAGCTTTGTCTGACATACTTTGAGCATGTTGCTTGGAGATACCAGTCCTTGGAGAGGGACATCATGCTTGGGAGGGTGGAGGGACAGCACAAGAAAGACCCTTGAAGAGATGGATTGACTCATTGACTGGGGAAATAGGAGTCTATGTCAGTGACAATAAGATTGGCTCATGAGAGAGCAGGGTTCAGAGCTGTTATACATTGGGTCTCAAGTGACTTGACAGCTCATAACATCAAAAAATGTTTTAAGTCTCTCCAGATTAAAAAAGAAAAAAAAAAGAATCTGGGCGACACAAATAGTTAATTGCTTGACTGCTACCAGAAAGGTTGGTAGTTTGACCCATCCTGAGACACCTTCAGAATAGTCCTGTACAATATAAATAAAAGCCCTGTGGAAGCTTTCATCAGGTTTTATATATTGTTATGAATTGTTTTTGGTGAAACATTTTTCTGGTCTGTCCACTTGCTGTACAGAGGTAATTTGTGGTTGCTGTGAAGCTGGACACTGTGACACTGATGGGTCAAATGCGAGAATGGTTGCCCATGGTGGACAGTGTTTGGTGAAGCTTCCTGATTAAAACAAGCTTGGAAGCAGGAGTGGCATCCACTTCCAAAAGAGCTTGCGCCTGGAAACTCTATGAACCTGGAAAAAGGATGAAAGTTACACAGATGTTCAGGATTTTCGTTCATAGGGTCGCTATGAGTTGCCTACGACTCGACGACACTTAGCAACAACAACAACATGATGTGAAAGAGAATGGGCTACACAATTTATATTGGAGTCTGTTTATTTGAAATAATCCCACATTTGCATATAGTATTGCTTCAATTAGGTGAAATGATTTATGTGGATGTTTTGAATTTGTGCTATGTTTACAAGCTGAAAAGTTTAGAATGCCTTATTTCTTAGGTCTCTTAAAAGCAGTTGTAGCTTAAGAATAATGTTAGTTAATGTGTGTTTTTGTCATCTAGATTTTGACCCTGTTTATTCTGAATTTATAGGTCCTTCTTTCGTTGAGCATGTTCGGTCATATAATCCTAAACAAGAGTCAACTCAGAGAAGAAATGAAAAACTACTGGAGGCATCGGCACCATCGGAAATGCTTCCTGCCGCTCATCATTGGAATGTGCAAAATAAAAAAGTGTCACTCAGAGAAATAATGTCAGAAGAAATTGCCATACAGGAAAGGGAGAATTTGGTATGCATCATAAGAAATATACTAAGCCACTGTCTTTAATGCTTTACTGTTGATTGTGTCTACTTAATTGTGATTTCTGTTTGATTCTATTATGTATTATTCTAAAATCCATGTTAGTCTGAGTGAACTTAAAGAGAAAACGGAAAAATGTTTTAAAGCCTTTAAAAGTTGAGGTTTTGGGGGAGCTCTTGTGGCTTAGTGGCAAGAGGCAGTGCTGCAATCACAAAGGCACATGGTTCGAGGCCTCCAGCCAGGATGGACAGTCTTCCTCCTGTGCGATTAACTGCCTCTGTAAACCCTCTGGAGAGTTAGCTGTGGGTTGGTTCTGACTGTGTAGTATACAGCAACAACTGGTTTGATAAAAGTTGATTTTTTTGTGTGTTTGGAAACCTTAGTTGACTCTTCTGTAGCAATAAGCTATCTTTGTTAGAGCTGTTATTTTAGATTTAATTTTATAGGTCATTGAGAGTAATTTTTTTTTTAAGAGAAGCTTGTATCTTTTGCTTCTCATTTTTTTTATTTCTAGCAAAATATGAAAGCTTTCACTTAATTTCTTGCATAAATAGCAATCATTTATTAAAATTTATCTTTAAAACAGTGTTTCAGAGAAAAATTCTAGAAACTTACGAATTGGAATTAAAAAAATATAAATTATATTCAAAGCTGCCTTTTAGTTTCCTTATGTAATAATATCCATCTGTGCCTCTATTGACTTCTAAATTTTGTGCACTTTTTTAAAAAACCAGTCATTTCTGCTTGTATTCCTGAGTTGGGTGGTGGACTCTAGACTACTTTGACCCCAAGAACACAGACCCTTAGGTAGAGCATCAGAAAGAGAATCATTTGATGTTTTCTGCTCACTCTTTGTCTCCAAAGGAGAAATACACAGCACTTTTTTAGGATAGGCTTAAGGGAAGTTTGCCCTACTCACAAATACTGTAAGTGAAGGACTACCTGAAATTGTGAAATCTGAAATTTTTCTGTTAACTTGAACTTGAAGCTTATCTGAACACTGTAATTTCCTATCCATTATGGAGAATATGCTTTGGATGATGTTGTTTACAGCATCACACATAAAAGTTGTTCTTTTATGTGGACCTGTGGGGGAAATGTCCCTCAGGACTCAGAAACAGTTCTACTTCTCAGTGGGAAGCTTGTTTTTGTTTTGTGTACACTGAGATTTTTATCCCTGTTTTTTGACCACTTGGAGCTAAATTGAGGTTATCCTTTCACAACTGATTTCACAAAAGAGTTTGTGGCATGCATTTATGTGCTGATTTTTCCCAGCTAACTTTATCCTGTGTTCCTACTTTTATTTTTCTATAATGCCATTTATTTTTATTCTAATGTACTGTGATTGAATATGTACATGTGAGAGTAGGTCTATGTATGTATATACACATGTAGGCATGCATACATCTGTGTGTCTGTAG